TAAAACATGTACCCGATATAAGTATTAATAAAAAGCTCGGACCAAAGAGGTCACCTTAATACCAAAAAAAAAAAAAATAAATAAAACTCTAAAATAGACTACTTAAATAGGTAACTAATAGTTGCATATTTGGTTAGCTATACTCTTATTTTTATAAAAATAGTTGTAATAACTAACTTTAATATATAAGAGCTCTATAACAAAAAATAGTAATAGATCAAAAAAATTTTCTATAATTTTTTAATATTGTATTTTAATTGATTTAATTTTTGTAAAAATAATGTTTTTATAAAAATTTTTTTGACTTATTACTATTTTTTGCTATAAATTTTTTATATGTTAATAAAATAATTATTATAAAATATTATTTTTTTTAAAAAAATACTACTTTAATTTAAATATTTAATATTTTTAAAAAGAGTTAAGTTATTTGTCACATATGTGACAGTGGCTTATTTATCACTACTAGTTTAAATGTCATTAAAATATATTATATATATTTTATAAAAACTTATATGTCACTATTATATATCATATTTAAAATTAGTTTATTAATTTAAGAAATCAAACTGTTTATATATTAATTTCAGTTAATTTCACAATATTTAGAGCCAAGATTATCTAATAATTTAACAGTTAAATTACTAGTTTAAAAAATATTATTAGCCTATTACTTAATATATTGCTTATGTACTGTCTACTGCATACTAACAAAAAAAACTTTTTATTAACAGATGTCTCTTTTAATAACTATTTTTGCAATTGCTATCAATAAATTCAAAAATTATATTAAACAATACAATAAATTAAATCACACATACTAGCAACTTAACTATACAAGACTTTTCTTTATTGACCAGCTTTGCTGATCCATTGCAATCACTATGCTATAGCTGTCACCTCCACTTTGCTCAGTTTAACTAAAGCATTAATAACCTTATTAAATATATTATTTATAATACCTAACCCTAACTCTAAACTAATAAAAAAAATTTTATTAAAATCCAACAATAATCAAATTGATTCAGTAAATAACAGAGTTAGCAAATTATTATATCTAATTTTTTTTGGACATATATTCAATTTTAATTGAACATATGTCTAAAAAAAAATCAAATACAACTAGACATAGTACAGTAAATTACATACTAGCAACTTAACTATACAAGACTTTCTTTTATTAATCAGATTTGCAAGTCCATTGCAATTGCTACACTACGACTGTTACCTTTGCTTTGCTTAGTTTAACTAAAGCATTAACAACCTTATTAAATATATTATTCATAACATCTAACCCTAACCTTAAACTAATAAAAAAAGTTTATTAAAATCCAACAATAATTGAATTAATTCAGTAAATAACAGAGTTAGCAAATTACTATATCTAATTTTTTTTTTGAACATATATCTAATTTTAATTGGATATATGTCCAAAAAAAAAAAATCAAATACAGTAAATTACATATTAGCAACTTAACTATACAAGACTTCTCTTTATTGATCAGCTTTGCTAGTCTGTTGCAATCACTATGCTATGACTGTTACTTTCACTTCATTCAGTTTAACTAAAGCATTAAAATCTAACAATAATTAAATTGATTCAGTTAATAGTAGAGTTGGCAAATTATTGTCTTATTGCATTTAATTTTTTTTGGACATATATTCAAAAAAAATTAGATATATGTTCAAAAAAAATCAAATGCAATTAGACATAATAATTTGCCAACTCTAATTAATAATAGCTAGTTTTACACAGTTAATACCATAAAACAAATTAAATTTGATTAATGCAATTAAAGTACTAAAGCTATACAATGTGAAATAATATATATATAATTTTCATACTAATTATTTGTTAGGACAATTTTGTTTGTTATGATCTATACTACTACAAACACTACAATGGCATGAATTATTACTTGTTGTTTTTATTTTTTTATTTCTTTCAATTGCTAATTTAATTTGCTTTTTTGTAGGTCGCTCTTTTTCAATATGTCGAAGTGGGTTCTGAACATCAAGGTATGTAGTTTCATAAACTTGAGTGTTTTCTAAAATTTGATTCCTCTCTATAAACTGATCTTTTTCCATAATCAGTTCTTGTTCTAAATTTTGATCATCTTCAGTAACTTGCTTATATTTTAAAACTTCATCATGTCTAGTATTTGGTGGCATATTTATCTCTTTGTTGCATTGTATTTCTTCATATTTATAAATCCATTCCTTAAACATTTTCATTAAACTGTCAAAATCATTGGAATCATCATAATCAACTAATTTTACACATTTATATGCAAGTCCAAGTAATGTTCCTTTAGTCAATTGCTTCTGACCAATCACTTTTGCAGCAGTTTGTTCAGGTGGTTCAATAAACATTGTATTCTATGTTTCAGCAACAGTTAAAAATGAAGGTATGTTTAATGAGTTTGATGTTGAATTGTTATGTTCTTATGACTTTCCTCTTATAAATTGTTTATCAATAATTAATGTATTCATCATTTTATCTTTATACCAATGCTTTGGAATTAGAGAAATATGAAATAGTTTTTGTTTAGATTGTAAAAGAACACAGAACCAATGGTGACAAACAACTCTACTTCCAAATAACAAGATACAGGTATATAAATAAAAGCTATTTTTTAGCAAAACAATATGTTTTCCAACACTAGACTTATGTTCAATTGATTGAACTTTCCAAACTTCAGCTACTAAAGAATGATTAATTCCTTCAAAAAGCTCATTAAGTTGTATTTGATAAAAATCATATTCAAGTTCAATTGGCACATTTTCTACTGTATCTAGTGCCAAATTGTATAGATCTTCAAAAGTAATCTTTCTACAATTATATATAACAGCCTCATTTATTTGATTAACATACAATTATAAAATTTTGGGTATTACATATTTTTGTAAAATATTATATATATTTAGAAACAGTCTTTTACAAATATTTAGTGTTTTATATAATAATGTTTTTTTATGCCAAGCTGAAAACCACCCAGTAAATTGCTCTTCTGCAACACATAATTCAATTCATTTAAACAAAATATATAACTGAGTCTTTTCATATACATTTCGTTTGATCACACTGTTTATTGACTTAGATCTTTGGATGGAAGTTATTCTTGCTGTAAAAACTCTACTAGTAAATGTCTTTGCTCAAGTTGTTTTATATGGATCTAGTTGTCTAAGCATATATTCAGTTGATTCAGAAAAGTCAATCATTAGTTGTTTCTAGTATTTTTCAAATGCTTCTTTATATAAAACATTTCAGGCATAGTAAAATGCTCTAAGAAATCATCATAATGATCACCTAGAGCCTTAAATAATTGTTTTTCAATATTATATTCAATATGCTAAATACAGTGAACAAAGTAAGTATTTGGATATATTTCTGGAACAATACTCTCAAGACCTGAATCTGCATCGATAATAAAAGCACCAGAGTGGACTCCTGTAGCATCAATTGTTTGCTCTAATAACTATTTGTAAATTTCACTTGTTTTATTAGATAACACAAACTGTGCAACTATTCTTGATTTAAAATTATTATTAACCATAGCAAAAATGCTTAAAGGTAAGTTATAAGTATTTGTTGATGCCATATTATCATTTAAAATAATGTCTACATAATGTTATTAAAGTTCTCTTTGTTTAGGTAATATATAGAATACACCTTGTAATTTATTTGTTTTTGGGTCAATTAATGGTTGAACATACCAATCAGGATCCTTAGCATACTCTTTTTTGAGATGTTAAAGCAGTTTTGCAGCATCACCATTCTGCATTTTATAAATTCAGTGAAACTTATATACATAATTTTTTATATCATAATCTACTATGGTGCTTTGGAGAACAACCCATGAAGCAATCTAACCTGAGAGAGGACATCAAGATTACAAAGCATATAACTTTCAATAAGATCTTTCATTTCTACAATAAGCTTCCAGTATTGAGTAGCAAAAATAGCATTTTCAGAAACCAAAGTATGGTTATGTTTAAGATGCATAGATGTCAATTTAATTATTGTTTCATTATCAGATCCCTTACTTTTAGACACATTAATAAGAAAAGGGCAATTGATTCTCTTTGATTCTTTATTTCTTTGCTTTTTAGAGAGAGCAGTCTTATATAAAATATATTTTCCAGAATGTTTACAATTCCATGTTTATTGATGTGAATTATGACTATTGTCTATTCATTTCTTTCTCAAGACAAAGTTATTTTGCTTTGCATAACACTCTAATGTTTCTTGACATTCTTCTCAAGTCTCAAAAGTCTTTTTATTTTATAGTTTAACATGAACTTAAGGTAAGTACCCTAACTGGTAACTACTTGTACTTGTTGAATTGTTCTCAGTAATATCTTTTAGTCCTCTAATAGTTTTATTTTCAATATCCAAACTTTCATTTGTTAGATCATAAGCACTCTTATTGAGTGAACTTTCATTTGTTAAAGAATAAGTGTCCTTATCAGGTGAACTTTTATATATTAAATCATAATTGTCCATATTATCAGATAGTGAACTTTTATAAATTAAATTATAATTGTCCTTATTTAATAGTGAGCTTTTATATGTTAAGTTATAAATGTTCGCTTTAATTTTATTTGAGTAACCAGCAAATAAAATATTTTCTAAACTAGTGAAAGGTTTCTGTGACATAATGTTTATAATAATAATAGGAAAAAAAAAAAAACTTCAAAGAAAAAAAAAAGCAAATGTATGCTAATATACTATAAGAGAAAGGAAACTGTGTCTTGTGAAAGCACAAGAGAAAAAAAAACTCCTAGGTTGAATTGTGTTTATTAAAAAAAAAAAAAAAAAAAAGTAAGTAAAAAAAAAAACTCTCGAAGAGAGAAAAAAAATTTTACAATGTACTATTATTGCTTTAACAAGAGGAAGTGAAAAAGTCAGTCTTGCGAATATTTTGTCAATTAATAATAAAAAAAAAATAATTACTTGCAAATATTTTGTCAATTTATAATAAAAAAAAAAAGATCGCTTGTAAACTAAAGTAAGAAAAGTGTATGCATTGCATGTATAATAATAACCTAATAAATATCCTCAAAGTATCTCTAACTCTGATTCTAATACTGTAATTAAAATTACTTATTTAATTACTATTTATCACATCTTCAACAACTCTTTTCTGCAGATCATCAAAACAAACAAAATTGACAAAAACTAAAAATAATATTACAAGTACTCTTCAATAATATAACTTTTCTTAAAGATATTAGATCTAATATTGTTAAACTTAGTATTATCAGAAATCCAAACCACAAGTAGCTAAATTTGTTCTGTTTGCTAGTACAAAGTTGACAACCCAAATAAAGAGTAATCAAATTTTGTTTATTTTTCATTTACGATCTGTACAAACTAATCAACTTGGCTGGTTCTTCTTAA